CCAGTATATCATGCAGAACCTCATCTAACACCTTACCGAAGTTCATATAGATCACGTCCATCGCTCTGCCTTCATCAATCCTCTTTGTTACTTCTACAAAAACCTCTATTAAGTTAGTGAGACACCATTTCCCATGCACAAATCCATGTTGACTATCCCTAATCAGTTGCTGCCTTTCCAAATACATGTAAATCCTGTCCCTCAGGAACCCCTCCAAAAACTTGCCCACCACAGACGTCAAACTCACCAGTTTATAGTTTACTGGCTTTTCCTTACCACCTTTCTTAAAAAGTGGCACAACATTAGCCAACCTTCAGTCTTCTGGCACCTTGCCTGTGGCTATCAAAAATACAAATATCTCAGCAAGGGGCCCAGCAAACACTTCCCTAGCTTCCCACAAAGTTCTAGGATACACCTGATCAGGTCCCGGAGATTTATCCACCTTTATGCATTTTAAGACATCCAGCACTTTCTCGTCTGTAATATGGACCTTTTTCAAGATGTCGCTGTTTATTTCCCCAGGTTCTCTGGCTTCCATATCCTTCTCCACAGTAGACACTGACTCAAAATACTCATTTAGTATCTCCGCCAGTTCCACACATAGGCAGACTTGCTGATCTTTAAGGGGCCCTATTCTCTTTCTAGTTACCTTTTTGTCCTTATCACACAAACATTTCAAATCCTCAGACCACAATTCTCATTTTCAGACTGGAAACCTAAATCTGTCATTTAATTTTCAGTCAGGTACGATTCTCATAGCTGTGGAGGTACAGTCCTTGTGTACGTTTAAGGTTGAGCCAGTTAAATCCTTGATCTGCAGGGGAATGAAGGGTTACACAGAAAAGGCAGGAAAGTGAACGTGAGGACTGTCAGCATGATCTGATTGAATAGTGGAGCAGGCCTGAGGGGTCAAAAGGCCTACTCATGTTCCTATTTCCTATGGTCTTATTCCAGTTGGATGCCAATCTTTGATATGACACCTGGTTTCCAGCATTCCCTGTTGTTATTGCTGACTCTAAACCCAGTTGTAAAGGAGCTTATGCTCCATGTCTGGGAGCTCTGAAGGCAGGAGAGCGGCATATCTTTCCCACCTCAGGGTTAACCCTCACTGTCGCTTTTGGATGTGATGATGTGGAGGTGCCTGGGCTGGACAAAGTCAGAACTCACATGACACCAGGTTATAGTCCAACAGGTTTATTTGAAAACACAAGTTTTCAGAGTCATAAAATCATAGAATCCCTACAGTGTGGAAACAGGCCCTTTGGCCCAACAAGTCCACACCAACCCACAGAGCATCCAATCCAGACCCATACCCCCCAACACACCTAAGCTACACATCCATCAACACTATGGGCAATTTAGAATTCACCAATCCACCCAGCCTGCATATCTTTGGACTGTGGGAGGAAACCGGAGCACATGGAGGAAACCCACACAGACACGGGGAGAATGTGCAAACTCCACACAGACAGTCACCCAAGGGTGGAATTGAACCTGGGTCCCTGGTGCTGTGAGGCAGCAGTGCTAGCCACTGAGCCACCCCAGTCTTACTCCTTCTTCAGGTGTTAGTGAGAGAGGCAGTCATAGAAACATAGAAGATAGGAGCAGGAGGAGGCTATTCACCCTTCAAGCTTGCTTCATCATTCTTCACAATCATGACTGATTGTCCAACTCAATAGGCTAATCCTGCCTTCTCCCCTTAACCTTTGATTCCATTCATGCCAAGTGCTATATCTAGTCGCCTCTTGAATACATTCAATGTTTTGGCATCAACTGCTTCCTGTGGGAATGAATTCCACAGACTCACCACTCTTTGGGTAAAGAAATGATTCCTCATCTCTGTCCTAAATCGTCTACCTACCCTGAATCCTCATACTGTGACCCCTGGTTCTGGACAAACCCACCATCGGGAACATCCTCCCTGCATCTACCCTGTCCAGTCCTGTTAGAATTTAGTAAGTCTCTATCAGATCCACCCTCATTTGTATGAACTCCAGCGAAAACAACCCCAACCTAGTCAATCTCTCTTCATATGTCAGATCCGCGATCTTTGGAATCAGCCTGGTAAACCTTCGCTGCACTCCCTCGAGAGCAAGAGCATCCTTCCTCAGCAAACGAGACCAAGAACTACACACAATATTCCAGGCGTGGTCTCACCAAAGCTCCATACAACTGCAACAATACATCCGTGCTCCTGTACTTGAAATCTCTCACAATGAAGGCCAACAATCCATTTGCCTTCTTTACCACCTGCTGCACCTGCATGTTTTTCAACAACTGGTGCACGAGGTCCTGCTGCACACTCCCCTCTCCCAATTTACAGCTATTCGGGTAGTAATCTGCCTTCTTGCTTTTGCTTCTGAAGTGAAGCATCAGACACAGAATTTATAAGTAAAATATCAAAGGGTCACATCCCTGATGAGGACGTACTAAACAACCTGAGATGCTGTTAAATCTTCAATCAGTTAGAAGGATTTAATTGATTAATATGTATATGTAAATGCCCAAATTCCTTTCAAGTCACTGTCCTGAGAGAACTAAAGGCTTTATCAGTGCAAAAGAAGATGTGACATTTTAGGCCAGACAATGCATGTTAGGTGTGAGGCCCTGTTTAGAATCTGCTTGTGTTTTGGTTTGGAGTCAGACTGGTTTTCTTTGCAATCATGGCAAAACCAGGAAAACACTGCGCATGCTCCAGGTTTGAAAGGACCACCGTTGATTGACGGTGGCTCGGGACCAATACGAGGTGAGAGGGCGCGGCTGGCCTTCCAACCAATCAGAAGGGTGGGAGTACAGCCGCGACTGTGGAGATGGAGGAACACAGCAGGGTCAGGCAGCATCAGAGGAGCAGAAAGGTTGACGTTTCAGTTTGGGACCCTTCTGCAGAAATGGGGAAAGGGGAAGGGAGCTCTGAAATAAATAGAGGAGGGATGGGACTGGGGAAGGTAGGTGGGATGGTGATAGGTGAGTGCAGGTAGGCAGTGGTGGGGATTGGTCAGTGAGGTTGGAGGAGCAGATTGGTGGGGGAGAAGACGGACAGGTCAAGGAGGCAGGGATGAAAGGGAGGGCTGATCAAGTATAGGTAGCTCAAGTTCACCTGGACCATCTCTGATACCTCTCTCTCCTTCCTGGACGTCTCTGTCTCCATCGCTGGTGACCGCCTCAAAACTGATATCTATTTCAAGTCCACCGACTCCCACAGCTACCTAGACTATACCTCCTTTCACCCAACTTCCTGCAAGAATGTGATCCCCTATTCCCAATTCCTCCGCCTCCGCCGTGTCTGCTCCCAAGATGGGGCGTTCCACTCCTGAACATCCCAGATCTCCTGTTATTTCAAGGACTGCAACTTCCCCCCTTCAGCAGTCAAAAATGCTCTCGATCGCATCTCTTGCGTTTCCCGCACCTCTGCCCTCACATCCACTCCCCGCAACAAAAACAAAGACAGAATTCCCCTTGTCCTCATGTATCACCACACTAGCCTCCGGATTCAACATATCATTCTCCGCCACTTCCGCTACCTGAACCAAGGATACATTTGCCTCCCCACCCCTTCTGTAGGGACCAGTCTCTCCACGACTCCCTCGTCTGCTCCACACTCCCCACTAGCCCCACTACCCCGAGCACCTATCCCTGCAACACTGCTACACCTGCCCCTACACCTCCCACCAAGAAACCAAAACAAACCTTCCACATCAGACAGAGGCTCACCCGCACATCTGCCAATGTGGTCTACTGCATCCGCTGCGGCCTCCTCTACATTGGTGAGACCAAGTGGAGGCTCAGAGACCACTTTGTAAAGCACCTGCACTCTGTTCGCGACAAACAACAATGCCTTCCAGTCACGAACCATTTTAACTCCCCCTCCCACTCCCTGGGTGACATGTCCATTCTGGGCCTCCTCCAGTGTCACAACGACGCCACCTGGCAACTGAAGGAGCAGCATCTCATATTCCGCCTTGGTGGCCTACAACCCAATGGTCTCAATGTGGACTTTACCACTTTCAAAATCTCCTCACTGCTTCATCGCATGACCAACCGTCCCTCTCATCCCCGCCTCCTTGACCTGACACAACCTGTCCGTCTTCTCTCCCTCCTATCCACGCCCACATCACTGACCTATCCCCACCACTGCCTACCTGTACTCACCTATCACCACCCCACTTACCTTCCCGAGGCCCACTCCTCCTCTATTTATTTGAGCTCCCTTCGCCCCCCCCCACCCCATTTCTGATCAAGGATCCTGACCCGAAGTTAGCATTCTTGCTGCTTTGATGCTGCCTGACCCTGCTGTGTTCCTCCAGCTCTACACTGTGCTATCTCTGACTCTAGCATCTGCAGTTCTCCCTGTTTCTGAGAGGTCAGCGTGGGCGATAAAAGAGACAGTAATGGAGGGTGTTGGGAGGGGAGATAAGGAGACAGTGTGGAAATGGGAGGTTGCATAAGCACCCGCTTGTAGGCCTTCGGACCCTAGTGAGGAACTTCTGGTCTTGCACTGTAACAGAAACAGCCGCGGGACCACCGGCTCACCGCCGCCATGTTTATTGAGGGCAAGCGTGGACGCTGGAAAACCCGAAATAGACCGAAGCTGGGAGTGCTAGCGAAACGTAGATGCGGCAGCGTCAGTGGCGAGAAATCAAAGTTAATATTTCGAGCCCAGTGATCCTTCTTCGGAGCTTTATCACTCCTTTCGGGGGGAGAGGGGAACTGTGTGCGATATGTATGTTGGACGATTGAGCGGACGCCATGTTTGTAGGGGGCAAGTGCGGCAGAGCACGTTTGCAGCAGTAAATGCCTTTTTGTTGTTTTGAAGCTAGAATAGGACAGTGCAGGAATAGGCAACTCCTTCGGTGTGAAGGATTTAAACGCAGGAAACTCAAACCAAGGAAGATCAGCTCCTGCTCCGAGTTTCTTCCTTGGGTTCTTGTAAGGGTGTTTATTTGTGAACTTTTTGTTTTAATCCAGGATTTTTCGATTGGAAAGTTTTTTTTTATTTGCAGACGAGGAACTCAGCGAGGACATCGCATTAAGATCCCAAAGTCATTCAGTTCATCAGGACCTGATTTTTTATCGGCCTTTGAACGTGGAACGTAGGCAGTTTGTCTTCGGTCTGTGGGAAACGATTTTAGAAATAGGCCAGGCAAGACCGTCGTGGACGTGAATTTGCATGTCAGGAGACTGAGGTGGGCTATGGTTGAGATGTGTGATTGAGTGGCACAGAGAGGAAGAGACTTTTGCCCTTGGAGAAAGTAATGATGGGTGGGGACTGCTTGGTTTAGAAGTAGAGGCAGGAGGTGTAGAGGAGATGTGAGGAAATGCTTTCTTTCACCCAAAGTTTGTTTGGAATCTGGAACTCACTACTTGAAACGATGGAAGAGACAGAAAACCTCAACTTTAACAATCAAGAATCAAAATAAACAAGGACAGGACTGGTACAATTAAAAGTTGGGCCTTGGGTATTGCTGTAGAACAGAGACCTAGGGGCTCAGGTACATAATTATTCAAAGTTTGCATCACAGGGTGGTTAAGAAGGCAGTTAGCATGCTTGTCTTCATTGCTCAGACCTTTAAATATAAGAATTAGGACATGTTGAAGTAATACAGGAACAAAGTTGCTGGAAAAGCTCAGCAGGTCTGGCAGCATCTGTGAAGGAAAAAACAGTGAATGTTTCGGGTCCGGTGACCCTTCCTCAGAATCAGTTCTTTTGTTTTTTTTGAGGTTACACAGGACCTTGGTGAGGCCTGTTCTGGAGTACCGTGTCCACTTCTGGTCACCTTATTATATGAAGGATATTACTGGGCTGGAGAAGGTTCAGAAGAGATTTTCCAGGATGTTGCTGAGAATGGAGAGTTCGAGTCATGGGGATAGGCTGGGACTTTTTTCACTAGAGCACAGGAAGTTGAGGGATGACCTTTATGGAGGTTTATAAAATCATAAGGGGTATAGATAGGGTGAGTGGCAGGTGTCTTTTACCTTCGATGGGCGATTTCAAGACCAGGGCACATCTCACTTTTAAAGTGAGAGGAGAAAGATTTAAAAAGAGAGATGAGGGGCAACTTCTTTACACTTGTATGGAATAAACTTCCAGAGGAAGTAGTAGATGTGGCTACAGTTACAATGTTTAAAAAGACACTTAGATAAAGACATGAATAAGCAATGTTTGGAGGGATATGGGCCAAGCGCAGGCAAGTGGGACTAGTTTAGTTTGGGCTTACAGTTGGCATGGACTAGTTGGACCGAAGGGTCTGTTTCCATGTTCTATGACTCTGTAGTCATTGAATCCCTATAGTGTGGGAGAGGCCATTCGGCCCATTGACCCTCTGGAGAGGATCCCACACAAACTTCATCCCCTATCCCATCCCTGTAATTCCACACTTACCATGTCTAATCCACCTAGCCTACACATCCCTGGACACTATGGAGAATTTAGCTTGGCCAATGCATCTAACCTGCACATCTTTGAGCGTATTTAGATATTCCCTTTTAATGCCAAGACATACAAGACCACGGAAATGTGCTGGAAAGTAGGATTAGAATATTTAGTTAGTTGTTTTTGACTGGCATGGACCTGATTGGCTGAAGGGATTTTTTAAAATGAGCTACAGACCTCTGACTCAGAGCAGTGGACAGAATGGTGATAATGAAAGTGAGATATTCTCACTTTTCACACTGACAGCTGAGTTCTGGATGATTCAAGTTTCTACTGGTTGAAGGAGAAACCAGTCGGGAAGGTTTCAGAATTGCCTTGTGCAGACTAAACAGAGGAAAGGATGAGAGTCTCGGAAACAGCTGAAGCAGAGGCAAAGTCAAAGTGTCACTGAGCTGGATCTACCATGTCACAGGCCTTCACATTTGTTTCATATTCCTCTTCCATTCGCTCGATCCAGTTCTGTCGCGAGGTAGTCATGAGTTGAAGCATTTAATCTTAGCCAGCCAGACAGTGTCAGTGAAGACAGAATATTTCCAGCATTTTCTGTTCTAATTATTGTGTGGGAAATCACCGCCTTGGTAATGATACTGATCATCTTGGGGTGAAATATTTCACCATGGTCACGAACAAGAGGGATGGAGGCAGTGGTGAGAGGTTGATGTTTGTCAGGCTCTGAACACAATGACGTCATTCATCCCAACATTTAGAATCATTAGTCATAGAGTACAGTCGTAGAGTAATACAGCATGGAAACAGGCCCTTCGGCCCAAACTGGTTCCTGCTGACCGTGGTGCCAGCATTTGGTCCATATCCCTGTTAAACCCTTCCCATTTATGTACCTTTCCAAATGCTTTTTAAATGTTGTTATTCTACCTGCCTCAACCACTTTCTCTGGCAGCCCATTCCATATATGTATCACTCTCTGTGAAGATGTTGCCCCTCAGCTCCTTCTTAAATCTATTCCCTCTCTCCTTAAATCTATGCCCTCTAGTTTTCAATTCCCCATCCCTGGGAAAAACACAACATGCATTCATCCTATCTATGCCCCTCATGATCTTGTACACCTCAATAAGGTCACCCTTCATTCTACTGTGTTCCAAGGAATAAAGTCCTATCTGGCCAACCTCTCCCTATAACTTAGGCCTACTAGTTCTGGAAACATCCTCATAAATTTTCTTTGCGCACTTTGCATTTTAACCATGTCTTTCCTATAACAGGGTGCCAGAACTGTACACAATACTCACAAGTGCAGCTTCACCAACGACTTGTACAACTGTAATATAACATCTCAACTCCTATACTCAATGCCTCGACCAATGAAGGCCAGCATGCTAAATGCCTTCTTCACCATCCTGTCCACCTGTGACACAGCTTTCAACGAACTATGTACTTGGGTATTCCTAGGTCCCTCTGTTCCGCAGCACTCCTCAGAACCTTACCATTCACTGTATAAGTCCTACCTTGGTTTGACTTTTAAAAGTGCAACACCTCACACTTGTCTGTATTGAATTGCATTTGCCAATCCTCAGCCTACTTCCCCATCTGATCGAGATCCCTCTAATTTTTGATAACCTTCCTTGTTATCAATTATACCTCCTAATTTTGTATCCTTCACAAACTTACTAATCATGCTTTGTACAGTCACAACCAGATCATCTATGTAAAAACAAAGGTCCCAACACTGACCCCTGTGGCACACCACAAGTCACAGGCCTCCAGTCTGAGAAACAACTTTCAACCCTCTGCTTCCTACCATCAAGCCAGTTTTGAATCCAAATAGCTGGCTCTTCCTGGATCCCATCTGACCTAACCTTTATGACTAGCCTGCTTTGTGGGACCTTGTCAAAGGCCTTAATAAAGTCCATGCAGAGAAGATCCACTGCTCTACCCTCATCTCTCCTCTTGGTTACCTCTGAAAAATTCTAAAAGATTTGTCAGACATGATTTCCCATGCACAAATCCATGCTGACTATCCCTATCAGACCTTGACTATCCAAATGTTGGTTGATCCTGTCCCTCAGTTTCCTCTCAAAACTTGCCTGCCGCTGATGTCAGGCTCACTGGTAGTTCCCTGGCTTGCCTTTGGTATCTTTCTTAAACAATGGGACAATTTAAGTGAAGGAAATTTCTGCTCACCCAATACTGGATGTCAGACAAGTGAGGAGAGTTTTGTGATATGTTGGTACTGGTGTTTACATGCACTGCCAGGTTTTTTTAATGGTTTGAAAGATTCAGTGAAAGGTCTGGTTGATTTGCCGTTACATTAAAATCATTGTCATTCACCCCCTGCCTCACTCACCACTCTTTTTCAGACTCATTCTTTTTCTCTGTCTCCTTGCACACAGACCAGCCTCTTGTGTAGGCCCAGAGTGGGTAGGCAGATGGAAATTAGTGAACCACTCTAGTTTTTACGCCAGCTTTCATGGTCACCTATTCCTTCTGCTGGCACCACAAAATACCAGATTCAGTCAGCTCAGTATCCCTATTTGTGTTCTGTAGGTCTCTCTTTTTTTTCTGTTTTTATTCAATTAGTGCGTGTGTTTAAAAGGAAGGATTACAGTCAGGATATTGGAACCAACATCATTCAAGAGTAATATCATCGGATTGTGAGTATGGAAGGAAACAGCACCGTTAAAGTTGGAGAGAAACCGTACATGTGTTCTGTGTGCGGACAAGGATCCTCTAGCCTGTCGAAACATAAATGCAGTCAGAAAGGGAAGAAACTGTGGAAATGTGGAGATTGTGATAAGAAATTCAGTTACCCATCTCAACTGAAAAGACATCAATGCATTCACTCTCGACATAGACCATTCACCTATCCTGAGTGTGGCACAGGATTCACTGGCTCAAGCCAGCTACGTACACACCAGCAAGTTGGCACTGATGAGAAACCTTTTAAATGTCCAGATTGTGAGAAGTGCTGGAAAAGTGCCAGGGAACTCAAGTCCCATCAACTTGTTCACACCGACAAGAGACCTTTCAGGTGCTCTTACTGTGGAGCTAGATTCAAGCGCTTATCAAATGTCACTGTACACTTGAGAGCTCACACAGGAGACCGGCCATTCACCTGCTCTGAATGTGGGAAGAAATTCATTCGGTCATCTCATCTGCTGCATCACCAGCTGGTTCACAGTGGGGAGAGGCCTTATAAATGCCCAGACTGTGGTAAAGGTTTTAAAAGTACCTGGGAACTGATGTCCCATCAACATGTCCATAGCGATGACAGACCGTTCAGATGCTCTGTCTGTGGGATTGGATTCCGACATTCAACTAACCTCACTGCACACCAGCGGGTTCACACTGGGGAAAGGCCATTCACCTGCTCAGAGTGTGGGAAGACATTCACTCGCTCATCCAACCCGTTGATACCCGCATTCACACTGGCGAGAAACCTTTTAAATGTCCAGATTGTGAAAAGTACTGCAAAAGTTCTTGGGAGCTGGTATCTCATCGACGTAGTCACACTGATAAGAGACCATTCAGATGCACTCACTGTGAGAGCCAGTTCAAGCACTCGTCGCAACTCGCTGTACATGAGCGACTACACACTGGGGAGAGGCCATTCAGCTGCTCTGAATGTGGGAAGGAATTCATTCAGTCATCTCACCTGCTGCTACACCACCGAGTTCACACTGGAGAGAAACCTTTTAAATGCCCCGACTGTGGTAAAGGCTTTAAAAATACCTGGGAACTGCTGTCCCATCAACGCGTCCACACCGACGAGAGACCGTTCAGGTGCTCTCACTGTGGGACTGGGTTCAAGCGATTATGCAAGCTCACTTTACACCAGCGAGTTCACTTTGGGGAGAGACCATTCAGCGGCTCAAAGTGTAGGAAGGAATTCAGTAAGTCATCCAACCTGCTGAGACACCAGCGAGTTCACAAGCAATGACAATAACTGGAGTTTGCTGTTAATTACGTCAAAGACAGAACTATGTTAGCTGGCATAGGGTCCCATTTGATGTTTGTGAACATCAACATAGTTTTAGATGTTCTGGATAAAAATTAAATCAGCCAAGTTAAGCTTACAAGATGTTGACTGTTTGTTTGTTTTTAATGTCAATAACATAACTTATTTCTTTTTGAAGGGCTCTTCCTCTCCTGTCTCCTCCATACCCTCCACCACCAAGTGTGAGGAGTTATTTGTCATTAAGATTAATACAATCTAATCAGTTGCCTCTGTTGGACCCCTTCCTTTCCAGGCTCTTCCTAAAATTTCACTGTACAGAATTCTGAACCCGAATCCTTTAGTTTCTCTCCTATCTGCTCCAATATCTATCACTTCATTTTTTTTTGACACGAGATCCTCCATTGACTCTTTCTCATTAAATCACTGGTCACCCAACCTCTCCACATCTGTTGATATTAACAGTTCTCTCTTCAGGTCTGCTTCCCTCCTTTTAAATCTGTATTTATCACCCTCTCCTTAAAATCAAATCCATGACCCCATGATCTTTGCAAGGTAGTGCCCTCATCTTTAACCTTACCTTTTCTACCTTGTACTTGAGCATCCTATTACTTCCAAGATCCAGCCTCATGTTTCGTAGAACTCCATGTTTGAATCCTTCCAATCAGGTTTCTATCCCTGATCTAGAGAAACAGCATTGTCTAAAGTCTCAACCGACATGTCTAACTGGGACTGAAGTAAACTGTCTTTGTCCATCTCAATCTGTCTGTGGCCTTGGACAATAACTACAATACCATTCTGCTCCAACGTCTCTCCACAGTCATCAGGCTGGATGGGGCTGCATTCTTCTCTGGCCAGTGCCAGCACAGGCCCAAAACTCTGCACCGTATTCCACATGCAGTCTGAACAGAGCCTTATACAGTGTCAGCAGTAGATTTCTGCTGTTGTATTCTGGACCTCTGTGAATGAGGGCTGACGTTGCATTGGGCTTCCTAACTGCTAAATGAGCCTGCACGTAAACCTTAAGAGAATCCAAATTCCGATTTTTTATCAGTCTCTGTGCTTCATATTTCTGAAGCCTTTCCCAATTTAGGAAATAGTGTGCATCTCTATGCATCTCTATGCTTGTTACCAAAGTGCGTGACCTCACACTTGCCACATTCTACTTCATCTACCACTTCCACAGTTCCCTCTGTTATCCCAAAATGATCCAGCCTTGGCCTTTTATTTCTCACCAACATATCCCAACATCATCTGAGACAGTGTCAATTGTCATATGAACTCTGACAGCTCCAAGCTCTACCTTGACCTGTCCATTGTTGTTAAACGATCAAGATTGTTTCTCTGTGATCCAGTGATGGATGTGCAAATATTTACTACAGTTAAGTGTTGGGAAGAGTGTTTCTGTTCACCCATGACCAACTCTGTTCCTTTCCCTGGCCACTGTCTGAAAGTAAACACACTGGTTTTCATGTTTGATCACAAGATGAGATTCTAACGTGCGTGTATATGTGTGTCCTGAGAATCTTCTGTGCATACAGAACCTTTAAATCAGACCCCACAGACAGCACTTTTTTTTAAAAAATTGCCTTTCAATAATCATGCATCAACTCTATAAATTAAGTGATCATACAAGGCATTGTTCAGAATTTTGCTTTGTGTTTTCTGTTAATATTTTCTCTCTAATACCCTGTTGAAAGTGTTTTTCCAAAGGCATCACTTTGGTGTGGGATAGGGATTGAGAAAGTTGATTGTTGTTTCTATGGAATTCACTCTCTCAAATCTATAATTCCCTGTCCCATTGGGACAGCGTGTATGAGAACAAGCACCAACCAGACAACTTGGGACTTGGACAGGCTAAGACAGTGGGCAAAGAAGTGGCAGATGGAATACAATGTGGCAAGTGTGAGGTCATGCACTTTGGTAGGAAGAATAGAGGGTTACACTATTTCCTATAGGGAAAGGGTTTGGAAATCTGAAGCATAAAGAGACTGGGGAGTCTGAGTTCAGGATTCTCTTTAAGGTTTAAATGCAGATTCATTTGGCAGTTAGGAAGCCAAATGCAATGTTAGCCTTCATTCAAGAGGGCTAGAATACAACAGCAGAGATGTACTACTGAGGCTGCAAAAGGCTCTGGTCAGACTGCATTTGGAATACTGTGAGCAGTTTTGTGTCTATAGATAAGGAATAATGTGCCTGGCAATTGTGTTGGAGGTGTTCCAGAGGAGGTCTACAAGAATGATCTTGTGTGAAGGGTTTGTCAGATGAGGAGCGATTGAGGACCCTAGGAGTAGTGATTGGGACCTGGTTGACCTTGTTAATGATGAGATTCTGAATTGGGGTTATTAACCTGGGCCAGTCAGGAAAGCCTTGGCTGACCAATATAACCAGATCAGAATTTCATCAGTTAAGAACCGTCTCTCATGATTATTGGAGGCATATGGCTGGCATTGGCATTTCTGCTGCCACTTTTCACTGTCCTCCCCCACTCCACCAAAGGTCTGGAAATATCAGGTTTAACCTGGTGTGGAGCCTTCTCCCCACGAGGAGGAGCTGATGGCCTGGTGGTATAATTGCTGGACTGTTAATCCACAGACCCAGATAACATAATAAAAACCGAAAGATCTGTGGATGCTGTAAATTGGGAGCAAAAACAAAGTTGCTGGAAAAGCTCAGCAGGTCTAGCAGCATCTGTGAAGGAAAAAACAGAGTTAACGTTTCAGGTCCTATTCTGAGGAAGGCTCACCGGTCCCGAAATGTTAACTTTTTTTTCCCTTCACAGATGCAGCCAGATCTGCTGAGCTTTTCCAGCAACTTTGTGTTTGACCCAAATAACATTCCGGGTCTCCGAATTCGAATCCTGCCATGGCAAATGGTGGAATTTGAATGTAATAAAATATCTGGAATTAAGAATCTAATGATGACTATGAAGCCATTGTCAATGGGCAATATATGCTGCCTAGCCAGCAATGCCCTCATCCCATTGATGAATAAAGGGCAGGAGGAGGGAAAGAAATGCAACTCTACTAGAGTTATCCCTTGGTGGGGCAGTGTCCACAAGGACAAAAAGTGTCACCAGCAGCACCCCCACAGTCGTCGGGAATGGTTGAGTAAACCCTGGACTTGTTTGCTTGTCAACTGTGCTGGTCCTTTTATGTGTTCAATGTTCCTGATCATTGTGGACACCCATTCAAAGTGCTTGGATGTGCATAAAGTTTGTTCAGCAAACTCAGGGATGACGATTGAGAAGCTGTGAGCATCATTTGCAATACACAGACTCCCGGAAGGGTACGCCCTCAGAGTGCAGGGATGACCCTTTAAAACTGAGCTGAGGAGGAATTTCTTCAGCCATAGCGTCGTGAATCTGTGAAACTCATTGCATCAGAAGGCTGTGGAGGCCGAGCTATTGAATGTATTTAAGACAGAGAGAGATAGGTTTGTGATTAGTAGTGGGATGGATCAAGGCTTACGGGGAGAAGGCTGTAAAATGGGGTTGAGAAACGTAGAGTCATAGAGTAATACAGCATGGAAACAGGTCCTTTGGCCCAAACTGGTCCATGCTGACCATGGTGCCCACTCAGTTCCAATTGCCCGCATTTGGTCCATATCCTTCTAAACCCTTCCCATTCATGTACCTTTCCAAATGTTTTTTTAAATGTTGCGTTTGTACCTGCCTCAACCACTTTCTTTGGCAGCCCATTCCATATACACACCATTCTCTGCGTGAAGATGTTGCCCCTCAGGTCCTTCTTAAATCTTTCCCCTCTCACCTTAAATGTATGCCTTCTAGTTTTCAATTCCCCATCCCTGGGAAAAAGATTATATGCATTCATCCTATCTATGCCCCTCATGATTTTATACACCTCAATAAGGTTGCCCCTCATTCTACTACGTTCCAAGGAATAAATGCCTATACTCCCTGTAACTCAGGCCTACTAGTCCTGGCAATATCCTCATAAATCTTCTTTGCACACTTTCCAGTTTAACTATATTTTTCTACAACAGGGTGACCAAAACTGTACACAATACTCCAAGTGCGGCCTCACCAACGACTTATACAACTGTAACATAACATCCTAACTCCTATACTCAATGCCTTGACCGATGAAGGTCAGCATGCTAAATGCCTTCTTCACCACCCTGTCTACCTGTGATGCTGTTTTCAATGAACGATGTACTTGTACTCCAAGGTCCCTCTGTTCCACAATACTCCTCAGGACCTTACCATTTACAAGTCCTACCTGGTTTGACTTTCAAAAGTGCAACACCTCACACTTACCTGTATTGAATTGCATTTGCCAATCTTCAGCCCACTTCCCCATCTGATCAAGATGTCTCTGTAATTTTTGATAACCTTCCTTGCTATCAATGATACCTCCTAATTTTGTATCATTCACAAACTTACTAATCATGCCTTGTACATTCACAGACCCACCCAATCGACCTCTGCTACGTCCAGCCTAATGGCCACAAAATTGGCCTTGCTCCAGTTTTGCACCTTTTACCTGTGAACCTGAGCTATCTTTTTCCATAACTATGTTAGAACTAAGAGAGTTTTGGTCACTGGACCCAGTGTGCTCTCCGACTGACACTTAAGTCATTTGTCCGACCTTTTTTCCGTAAGAGGAGGTCCAGTGTTGCACTCTCCCAAGTAGGGCCCTCTACATATTGATTTAGGAAATTTTCTTGGACACATTTGACAAATTCCACCCTGTTCGGGCCTTTTACACTCTGGGGCAATCTCCAACCAATACCAATGTATTATTCCTATAGGTATCTGCAATCTCTCTACACATCTGCACCTCTAGTACCCGCTGGCTATTTGGGGTCTCTCATACAGTCCCAACAGAGTGACGACCCCCTTCTTGTTTCTAAGTTCTAACCATATGGTCTCATTTGATGACCCCTCAAGAACATTCTGTCTAAGCACTGTTGTTATGTCCTCCCTTATCAAAACGGCAGCTCCCCCT